ACACTGTGGCGGGGGACAGTCTTTTCTAGGAAGGTTGGGGGTGCCTTCTAAAGAATATATAAATAAACACTAATAGGGTTATTCACAAGAGGGCAAATAGTTTGGAAAAGGCCGGAAAAGTGAACAGTCTAGGCCAAAATAGCTGATTTGGAAAAGTTTTCCTCTCCAGTTCAGCTATGTTGTCCTAGATTGTTCACTTCTCCTGACTTCTCCTAACCATTCACCCTTTAGTGAATAACCCTGTAGATTTAAAATAAGACCACACTGTAATGTGTCGATTTACATCCATCATCTGTGCCCTAGTTGTTGAGCTATAATGTTGATATCCATTACCTCTCTGAACTCATTTTGTCTTGCTTCATAAATGTCTTCCATTGCATTGCATTTTCCTATGCTGAACAAAGCCCATGATGAGATATAAATGAAAGAGACCGGCTTTTCTAAGGAGATTACCTGCCTCATCCTTTCCTGCCCTTTGATTACTCTTGGCAGCTTATCTTTAGTAATGCTGAAACCATCTGTCTTGTAATTCACTTCTGCAAATATCACTTTCTCGTGTATTTTTTTCATTGGTTAAAGTAGACTTGAACTCAAAGAGTGAAGATTTGCTATGTTTATAGGGAACGTGGTAAATGTGCCTAAGCAGTACCCTGAAAAATCTTTGTCTTGAATCCCTACTAAAAAATAGTGGTGCACTTCCTGGTGTGTGGGTGTGCCTAGGCACTTCTGTGTTGTATATCTGAAGTGTGAGATCTAAGGCAATGCTGCTTCTTACTGCTAGTCTCAGGAGATTTGGTGATGTCATAACTGTGCTGCTCACTGTTTTCCTTGCTGGAGGCTCTGACATGAGGAAGCAAAGCCCTGCCTCTACCAACGCACTGAGACACAGGGCAGAACAAGGCACAATAAGTCAGTAAATGGGAAGGTCAGCTGCAGGGAGACCACAGGATACCATCCATTCTGATGCTGGAGAATGGAGGAACAGACTGCTGGTTGTCGAGGGATCATAGAGTAAGGTAAGTAATCCTCTGTTTCAGATCATCCCCTAGAAAAGTGAGTAATATACTGTATTCTGCATTAGATGTGGGGGAGCACAATTTTAATAGTTTTATGCTTGCCAGTAGTTAAAGTGATTTCTGTCCCTTTCCTGGATAATTCTAAACAATGCCCCCCTGCAGTAGAATACTTTGAATACTTCTCCACCTAATGGTGAGTCTGAACACCTCGGTCTTCTAGCACTGCGCTCACAAGCAAAGTCTTCAACATTTGACTTTCAGATGTGTTGAATGCCTGATTTGCCTGTGGCTTCTTCCTCTGACCCCTTCTTCCTCTGACAGGATATGTGCCGACCCTCTAGTTCCGCCTCACCAAACTCTTTAAAGGAGAACTATGGGGTCAGTGTTTTTCCCCATAGTTCTCCTTAGGGTAACGGGAGGACACACACTAGCGTCCTCCCGTCACCCTATGCTCAGTATACCGCGAGCTACAGCTCACGGTATACGGAGACGCCGCAGCCGGAGCGGATCCCGACTTGGATGACGGGATCCGCCCAGCTGCGTGAGTGACAGCTGGCTCTGCCTACCTAGAGGCAGAGCCAGCTGTACCCGCCCCCCTCCCCCGTCCGTTCCGCCAGTCAGCGCTGGCAGAACGGAGCGGGGAGAGGGGAATCCAGCCCCTCCCCCTGTCACGGCAGAGAGCCGTGACAGGATCGAGAGGTGAGGGAACCCGGTATGTGTTCCCTCACGTCCCGATCTACTGAGCCGACCTGTGACAGTCTCATTGTCACAGGTCGGCTTAGAACTATGAGGTGAGTGGAAATCACTCATCTCATAGTTCTCCTTTTAAGCCATGTTTTTTTGGAGCTGGCTTTATACAAGGGGCACAGTCATGCTGGAACAGAAAAGGGTCTTCTACAAACTGTTATTACAAGGTTGGAAGAACACAACTGTTTTATTTATTTTTTTTAAATGGCAATTGTTTGATACCCCTTTTACCTTACATTTGTTTTCATTATCCAATTGTGTGCAAATGAAACAAGAATTTGCTTTTCAGTTAATTGAAGTGACTATTCACACAATTTATTTTACTGATCTTAAAGTGCAACTCAAGTTTCTTGTATGACAATCTACACAAGTACTAAATCTGGTTACTATGTGATGCACAATCCTCATACAGTAAAGAAAAAATTTCCTTTTATCTTCCCTGAGTGATCCAAATCCTCTTTTGTGTCTTACATGCAACCCCTCCCAGACACTAAAGCTCAAAATGGCAGGGATTCAGCAGCAGAGGAAGTGCTGTCCATTCAGAAAGCTGTGGGCAGGACTAGGTGTGGCCAGGTGCTGATTGAGAAGCTACCGGCTTGTGAATTAGCAGTAACAATGCTGATAACTACAGCCCCACCAACATTTTTTCATTGCACTGTAGTGCAAGCAGGTACAGCCTGCATGAGAGTGGCAAATCTGCTCTAAATTTTGGAGCAGTGCAGCATTGTTGCCAAACCTTCACAGGAAGCTGCATTGGGTGGACTGGTAAGAGCAACAGGTATTCGTGGGACTTTACGGGGAACAAAGAGAAAACTGTATGGGCAGGTGCACTTCTAATTAGGTTCTGCATCACATAATTTACTTGAAACAAGGGTTAGGCAGATGTATATTATTACACGGGTTATGGAAAAGCAAAGCCAATACCTTCTTCCTGTTATTTCAAAGTGCTATTTGCTTTAACAGCTGCAGATATGGAATGACACAGCGCTGACAGTATAGCTTTGATATGATCTTTACTGCAGCAGTGCTCAATCATTTTGCTGGTACTAAATTATGTTTTAGAGCTTCAGAACATATGCTGCCAGACACAGTCAACCATGCTCAGCAAAGTCTGCTAGTTGTAAGCCAGCAGATAAGAAAAGCAGATCGGCCCATTGTCTCCATTTCATCTTACTTCTCCTTTATAACAACAAATGCACTCTAATATAGTAGATCTGACGTGTGTGTGTGTGAGTGTGTGTGTGTGTGTGTGTGTGTGTGTGTATGTATGTGTGATGCTGAAAGAGCCATCTTTCGGCCGAAATTGCATCTTTAGTTTCTCTCCTCCATGCTGTGCACTGCTCCGTGTCCCCTCTGACACAGCGCACCATCCAGCGTGGAGGAGAGAAACTGTCAGAGGAGGCCAAGTGGTGGGGTCCTGCCCTGCCCAGCCACCTCTGACAAATCAGGATGGAGTGCGGTGGTGTGGGGGTGGAGACAGTCGTGCACTGCCACAGGAGCCCAAATCAGCTGTGAGGGGGAGGAGTCAGCTGTCAAAATAGACCAAGCTCTCCTCCCCCCACTGCTCAGCTGTGACATCTGATCCAGGATGAAGAGCAATACAAGTGGTCAGCGATCGGCTGATCGCTGACTGCTTGTAAATAATTGGACATAGTATGAGTTACTATGTACCAGTTATGAATAAATAGGAAGTGATCTACATCACGTCCTGTTCATTCATAATTGTGTGCAAAGTAACTCCTACTATATCCACAATGTATGAATGAACAGGAACACTCAGTACAGTATAGATGATTCCTGTTTATTCTCAACAGGCTGCAGAAAAAGAGATTATGGACTCTGTGTCCTCAATCTCATTTTCTATTTTAAAAGGGAAATATCAGGGGTCTGAAATTACAAAATATAATATATCCTACTTGTTTTAACATTTGACATTCTTCCAACAACCCTTTTTAGCTTTTGAATTCTTTTCATACAGTCATTTGTGTCCACTAAGCACATAGACGTTGTTTTGCAGCTCGTGTCCACTGACGACTCACTAGCAGAAGCTACAGCATCATCTTCCCTAGTAAACAACTTACAGCAACAAATATCTAGTCTACATAATGACATAGATCACATTCAATTCAATGAGCAGGAACTTTCCAAAATGATGCAGAACGTCAACATCAAGTTCCAAAATGTCACAGATACGTGGAAGAAAAACCTGGATGACATGAACATGGAAACTAACTCGATAAAGACTGAGACCAAGTCTTTTCATCAGCAGATGACTCTAAAGGTTAACTCTGCTGACCAGACCCTAAAAGTTATTTCTGAAAAACTTAAAGAGTTTGAAGAGAGTACACCAAGGAACTTTAGAACTGTAAAAAGACAAGAAGATGAAGATCTTCAACGTATCACTGATGTTTTGGACTATGATGCCAAGGCTATTCAGGATCTGATAAAGCAGCAGAATGAGTTGGCCAACATGGACCAAGAAGTCCTGAAAAACATAGTCCAGTTTGAGCCCAAATTGGCCGAGTGTGTCGGCCATTTGCCAGTTATTGATAACGCTGTTGGCTCTCTACTCAAGGTCTCCAACGAGATGCATGACCTTGACAAAAAGATCAACGAGTTGACCGTACAGGTGTTTAATACAGAGGACAATTTGTTGAAAATAATCTCGGAGACTTTAGAGATCCAGCATGCTCTGGAGAGTATGAAGTATGACAACAGTATCCTAAAACTGCAAAATGAAATCTCAGTTTTGAAGGAGAGAACAGAAACGTTATCTTCAACGAATGAAAAGTCAGTGTCAGAAAGAGACACAATTGACTGAACATTTTCTGATAGGAATGCTTAACACATGGCCACTTTTGGCCAAATTGGAGTAAACTAAAACAAATAGTATTCTACATTTGCTTAGTCTTTGTACAGGGACTAAACAGGGAGTTTTCTTCCTGAGGATAGTTTTTTTAATAACACAATCTACCACCCAAACGTTACAGATAATTTTAAGAACATGGCAACCATTTGAATTATTTTGTTCCTAATTTTAATGTTAAAGGAGAATTATGAGGTGAGTGATTTTCACTCAGCTTCATAATCTGAGCCGACCTGTGACAATGACACTGTCACAGGTCGGCTCAGTAGATCGGGAAGTGAGCAAACACATACCAGCGCTCGCTCACTTCTCGATCTATCAGTGCAGAGAGCCGTGATTGTCACTCACTCATGGCGCCCTGCAGGGATTCCCCCCTCCCCTGTCCAATCCTCCAGCGCTGACTGGCGGAACGGACGGGGGAGCTGGGTGGATCCAGACCGCATTGTCGGGATCCGATCCGTTCCGGCTGCGGCGTCTCAGTATACAGCGCGCTGTAGCTCACGGTATACTGAGCTTTGGGTGACAGGAGGTTTACGCTCTCTGCTGCCCCAATGCCAGGTTCCTCAATGTGCCCACCTGTTTGCAAGATGGCGACATCGCCGAGATCACTTGTACAAAACAAGCGGCGGCTTCCCCACTGTGCATTTAGCCCGGCTTACCCAAAGCAGGGCTAAATGTAGAAAACAACTATGGCATGTCCCGTGCGTCGAGAGATAGGCATTCCACACCCCTGCTGCCCCTCTACTCCCTGCTGCCCCGAGGCCGGGCCTCAATTGGCCTTGTGGGAAATCCGGCCCTGAATGCATTGGCAGCTATGATACAAAATATAATAGGAGATTCATTGAACTGCCGTATTCCTGGATAGTGGGCATTTTCATTTTTTCTTTTTTTGTGTGTGTGTGTTTTTCCACTGTGATACTGCAATACTGTATCCTCTGTACACTGTGCAGATGCTTCTGCTGCCCATCCTTCATTATGCATCTACCCAGGAGACATTTAGTATAAGACACAAAACAATATATTTCAAATGAAGTACATGAAAAACTATTATTGTTTTCTCAATTGTACACTTGTATCAGGGTTATAGTTATGTAATGTACACACTTTTATGTTTTTAATATAGATAGTGCTGGCTTAGTACCAAAGTACAATATACAGTGTTAATATGCTTACACTTGTCCATTGAGGCCTTTGCAAGTAATTATCTAGATGCCTTATAGGCAGAGTATGTCACATACTACAGTATTATAGCTGCTTATAGATTGTAGCAATCACTGCATTGTACAAAATTAATTTTCACTGTTCCTTTGGAATCTTAGTTTGTGTGGGGGGTGTGGAGGGTTGGGGGGCTGTTAATGCTTTAGATTATTTAAAGTAGCATTTTATTGCAGGATACTGGAAAAAACAGCTCTGCCTTTGCATTGAAAGAGCTGACATCCCTGGGGTGTTGAATTGAGGTTCTTCCAGCCACACTGATCACCCCCAGGGTGATCCATATTCCCCTTGAAACCATATTAAATGATGACCAGAAATTTGGAAGCTGTCCACAAAAAAAGGCAAACGGGGGGAAATGCACTAGTCTTCACGATTGCCTTCGGTCTCCTTGCAGCTGACATTTTTGTCATTACTGACTAGCCATGCCCGGTTTTGTTTTCACTCTGTATGGACCTGCTATCAGGGTAGGGGCTGGGCTTTGCATCCTCGTGTCAGAGCTGCCCCCTTGATGACTGGTGGGGTAATGTAAAAAAAAGTAGCAGGAGAAGTGGAAGAAGAACGGATCCCCAGAATGAATGAAGCAAAAACAAAAGATCTTTGCACTGTACGTCCTCAGGTACAGCTTCCTCTGCTGCAAGAAGAACAGTGAGCTGCACAGTAGTGACATCACAAATTCTCACTCCAAATATCATTAGACTAACAGTCATTGGCAAGCAGTGTTTTAAGTGATCTCACACTGCAGGTATACAGCTATGAGAATACATGCACAGGAGTGTCTAAAAAGAGAAAGTGCTCTGCTAACTTTCAGGAGGAATGAAAGAAAAAGCATTTTTCAGGATACTGCCCAGGCACAATTATCACTAGATGTTCTCTATAATGTATCAAATCTTTACATTTCCCATTTATGTACACAAAAAAAGTTAATTGGCTTCTGATTAATTCTGACCCGAGTTTGCTTGACTATAACAGGGTTATGTCCAAAATCCCTCATGGCCAAATAGTGAAGTGGATGGTTTAGGGTTTTATAAAGCACTGTGGAAATCTGTGATTCTGTGAAGATAACTTAAATGAATAGATGGTAGAGTAAGCACCAATTCTGTTGTTGAGAAGCGATTTTTGTTTTGCTTGACTCCTGGTAAGGTAAATCTTGATCTATCTATATGTGTCAGTGATGCCACTGATGATCTATTCCCAGTTCTGCCAAAACCCTTACAAAGCAAAACAGTAATGTCACATTCACACATTAGATTCCCCATAATGCTGTATCTTCCAAATTGGACAGGTTTTAAAACTCAGATTTTTTTTTTTAAATGGTAATAATGAAAGTAATATATCTCATCTGTGTTGCCATCTGTATCCCATTGGGGAGATTTTCCTTCACTTCCTGTGCCATAGCCACAACTTGGCTGTCTCCAGTGCGCCAGAACTGATGTTCCCATTGGCAGATTTCCCCACTATTCCTGTTCTGTTGACAGCTCAAAATGTGGGATTTCCTTTCACTTTTACTCAGTGATAATGGTCACAAGGACAGGTGAAGAAGGTGAATCTCACTAATAAACACAACAATAAAAACCTGACAGGTGTTACAATCCCTCGCTGCTCTTTCCAAAAAGCTAAACTACTTTACTTTTGCAGTCCAGTTCTGAAAATTCTTGCAGCTACGCAAGAGAAGAAAGTCAAGTAGAGGGCTGCACCAATAATATTCCAGCTGTAGTATTTCCAGTGCTAGATAAAAGTTGAAAGCCAAGACCTGACTGGCTGCCGTGGGGATCAATCACTGTATAGTGTATTAATGAATAAACAATGCACACAAATGTAATTGCATCCACATGCCTAGATAACGCAACTGTACCTTTATGCAAAATTAAAGCAATATTCCATTTTCAATCAATTACATTTATTTGTGCATATACTGTGTTCTTCAGTCAAATAGAAGTTGTTGCTATATTTCTATTTATGTTTGCTTTAAATTAAGACAGCCCATATCTCCATATACTATCATGTTCTGCCCTACCAGCTCCATATTTGCATCACACCATTGGCATTGGCTGCTAGGGGATCGGCATGATCCTGTTTCCCACAGCTACTAAGCAGATTTAAGGTTCACACCATGTCTGGACCAGATTTGGAGCAGATCTGCTACCTCTGTGCTGTGCGTTTGGTGCATTTTTGACTCTTTCCTGTGTGGGGTTTTTTTTTTTAGCTTAAAATTGGCTTTTAGGTGCAATCCAGACCAGAAAAAATAGTGCATTCAGCATTTTTTTCCCCCGCACCAGAACAGACTGCACTGGCGTGAACAGAGCCCAGAAATACCATAGGAATACATGAGGATGCATTTTAGGTGCGTTCAAAAACTGTTCTGGTCCGGACATGGTGTGAGCAAGCCCTTAGGCTACGTTCACACCTTCTCCAGTGAGTTTCAGCACGATTAGCTGCTGGAATGCACTGGATAGCATACTGTCCGGCTCCCTTTGTTCTGGGGCGGGAGGGGCGTGGCGGTGCATTCAAGTAAATGGCACTGCAGCCATCCCATCTCGCCCGCAGTGCGATCGCCCACACCAGAACGTGTTGCACAGCAATGGCCGCGTTCCGGTCCAGAATGCAAGGAGCCAGACAGTATGCGATCCAGTGTGCTCCAGCAGCTAACCGTGCTGGATCGCACTGGAGATGGTCTGAACGGGCCCTTAAACTTTCCTTATAGCTCATGTTGTGTGACCCAAATCCTTGACTCTTAAAGTGTATGTAAACCCTAACTATTAACTATTCTAATCTTCTCTCTTTTGGTCTCTTATAATGCAAAGCTTCCAACTGTGTATATTTATCTGTTTGATAAGTGCAAAAAAAAACCTGTTGATCTTTTCATAAATTCAGAGCTGTCCTGTGTCCTCTGCATTAGTCATGTATCGTCTCAGAGAGGCTCATCTCGGTAGAGGAGTGCCAGCAAAGACTGGAGAATAACTGGATGGGCACTGCTGGAGCGTGAACACTGTCAGGTCTATTCACTAAAGGGTGAAGGGTTTGGAGAAGGCCGGAGAAGTGAACAATCTAGGACAACATAGCTGATTTGTAAACATTCTCCAATTCAGCTCACTTCCCAGTTCAGCTATGTTGTCCTAGATTGTTCACTTCCCCTGCCTTCTCCAAACTCTTCACCCTTCAGAGAATAGCCCTGTGCGAGTAATGATTTGTGGGCATGTATTATAGGAAGCCATGCACTTTACATTTATTCTTGAACTAAAACTGCATTAAAAGCGCAGTAGTAGGTTCCTAGGCTTACACAAAAGAGAGCAGAAACTGCGTCAGATTCCAGAGATGGGATTTTGAGCTGTTTTCTTCTGCTTGTTGTGTGAGATAATCCCTCTGGCCGTACACTGGTTTTCTGGCTCGCCTCCAAATGCACAAACGCTCTTCGTAAAAATAGCTCAAGGGCAAAATGACAGACAGGCAGAATTACTAATAAAAACATCCCATTCTACTCATAGGAAAGACAGCTAAGGACAAGTGGGTAACTCTAAACACTGAACTACAGCAAAGTTTTCAAGCTCGACCTGACTCTTGCAAGCATTTTTATCAGACCAAGAGTCCTGTGCAGACTATCTCTTCACCAATCCGCCCACTGCCTACATTTATAGTGTGCTCTGCCAACTTTCAGATTGTGTTTTGTATGTCCAACTGTCCTCTAAAGCAGTGTTTCACAACCTGTGTATCCTCAGGACCCACAGTTGTCCTTGGTCATTAAGTCGTGACCCAA